GGATCTGCCAGATACAGTCGTTAGCTGTTATTGTGACCACAGTCATTAACACTCCAGTTAGTTGGGGTGTGTCAGCGTAGGGTCGGTTTTGGAGCGGCACCCGTTCCTTACTCACGACTAATTGACCGCTTGAAGCTGCAACGATTGACGAGAAACGAGCTAACGCCACGCCACAACACTGCCCCCGACGCCACTGTTGGGCCCGAAAACCCCTGGCTCTCTCGCATAAGTGTGAGTGCTTCAGCGAGGGCACCTACAGCGAGGGACCAGCCATTTTCGTACCAGATGGATGCGATATTGATATTTCGAACGAGTTTTAACCCTGAATTTCACGACAAAAAAGTGTTAGAGAGGTGGCCACGACATCACATGATCACTTGGACATTCTGGCTTCAAGCCTGGGTTGAAAAACTTTTCTAGTCAACCGCATTTGACATCTGTATTCAGAGAATCAAACCCGTACCCTGCGACACACCCCGACTAGCTTCAGTGACAACGACTGTATTTGTTGTACTTGTTACAACCACGACAGGTTCTTAGCAAAACTGTTCCTTGGCGTACTGGAGAACTTAATGAAGACATAGCCCGAATTTCTTTGGATAGTAAGAGCATAGTAAGAGCAGTACAGTGCCAAAATTGTAAATGCTATAATTTGAATGTTGCAAGCAACTCACGCCATATTCTCGGAGCAAATCATCCGTCATTCGAACTTTATCGAATGTTCCTTTTCGGAAACCTTTCGATGCAAGAAATTCAGCACGCATATTCGTATCCATGAACACAGCTCGAGAATGTCTCATGCATGTGCGAATGTAGCGAAACACTAAAATACGAAAACTGAATTAACGCATTTGAAGGTATAATAGAATCAATGGCTGAGACGTCAAAACTCTTCCTTCAAGTATGCAACCGCTGAGACTTCGTTGTGCGATTCCAAAGGGTGTGGATAGAACATAAGGGACCTTTCCACAAATTTCTGAGCGGTCAGAACGCAATCTCTGAGGTGGGTCTCATTGTTAGAGCTATTTACGCCACTAACGAAAGCAAACGTGCAACGTAAATATCACCGGAGAGGATCCTTTGCTCGCCGGAACAAGTGCCTCGTTCACGCCGTTGTCTTTTGTCGTCTGGTGTCTCTTTCGCGTGCTCAATGTTTCTTCACTATACGCTCGCACCTGCGTACAATCGCGAAAAAGAAGGGCCTTATCAAAGCGTTCTAGACAATTTCCTTTGCTCTTTTCCTCACTTCATAGTTTCGCCTACATGTACTTCGAAACCTCGAGAATGTTTTCTAATACGATAAAAGATTTCAAAAAATCTTATGATAGCATCGAGCTCAGTGCTGGTTTCAGCTAACAACGCGCGTTTTCCACCGATATCGTGCTTTAGAACGCTGCCCACCTTCTATTCGTATCCTGTTACCCTAATGGAGTCATTTACGCTAAGCTCAACCCTCTTGTCACCAGCCACTGAACTTCCCAATCTTTTCAGCTCTAGTCGTGAGTGAAACATCGCCATGACATACATTGTTGACTACATGTGGGGATGATGAAGAAAAAGGAATAGCCCTAAGTACGCTATGTAGCAGCCGCTTAGAAACAGGCTGTCTAGGCCACTAAGCCCTCCTAAGAGCAGGGGCACATGAAGAAGAAAACACAGTAGCTGGGTTCGTCCGCCCACCCAGTTATTTTGAAATATAATTTTGAATTTCGCAGAATCATGAGGACTACCCTTTCCCTCCCTTCTTTCAAGCACCATACTCGCATCTATCAGACCCAATAATTTTTTCATAAACATAAATGGTCGCATTGTTTACCCAACAGTTTGAAGGGCGGAAATACCAAAACACTTCAAACACTTACTGTCATCGTCAACTCCTTGCGCAAGATTATGGTCAAGTTCGAAAGGATCTCTTATCACCATTGGACTTCGATACCATTTGCCCACCTTTGACACATTACCAGGTGTGTTAATTTGGATAATCTAAAAAAATGATTTTGAAATGAATTAAATGAGTATTTAACCAGCTTTCCGGTGTATAAGCCGCACCTGCGCACACCCTCGCCTCAGAGACAATTTTTGTTTTCCTGTCTATGCGAACGAATTATTTTGATAACACTACGATTTTTATATGATACTATGAGTTTCATAGGCAAATAGACGATAATAATCGCCAAGAATCCCAATTAATGCTGCTGCTGTGTCAAGAAACTTTTTGCGCGCACTGTTGCGACCACACAAATAAATAGGCCTTATACCCCAGAAAATAGGGTGATATGCGTTGAATAGATGAAGCAGACTTACATGAACGTCGTACTGGAAATGATTGGAGAAATAATCCAAAAAGCCTACGAACAGTTCATAGGTGCTAATTCCAACGCGTTGCGATTGGCCGACCTGAAAAATTTCCATAACTCCTCAGAGGAAAGTGGACAAGACACTCGTAATTAGCCGCACTATGGCGCGCGGCGCATCATGTGGCGTGCGCGGCACATTCTCGATCTGCGTCTATTTACCGAGTGGAGGAGCTGGAGACCAAAGCCCCATTGAACAACCAGGCGGGTTGCGAAAACTGTAATCTGGAGACTATATGCGATCCTAACACGCCTTATAAGCAAGTTGGGCACGATTATTCCGCACCAAGGTCGGCTATGGATCAAATACTCCTGAGCAGAATCAGGAGTTCCGCGACCGGCCGGGGGGGCGAAGTGCTGCATAGCGGTTTCGCCTGAGGAAGGTGCCCGCACATTATACGGGCTGCCTATCGAAAACCACTAAACTAACGTCGCCCAACGCGCTCGCCATCGCCTGCGGCCCGGCGCCCACGAAAATGGACCGACGCGCTCCATGACGATCGTGATTCAGTTGCATTTTAGCTGAGGAAATATGAAGCGAAAAGGGACTAGGTTAACATGAGCGTCCGGTGATGCTGGCAGCGCATACGCATGGGTAGCACATATGCAGCCGTATGCTTCGGTAGCAGGTGATTGGTAAGATGCCATGACGGGAACAGCTCGTGCCAGAAATGCGGTTTGAGCAAGTCACATGAGAATGAAGGCTTTGCTTACGGAAGATTTTGACGCGGTTTGCACTCCGTTTCTACCCGCCCTTGTTGGGCCCAACTATAACAGCGCACCTAACTAGCTATTTAGGCTAAGTAGGAAATCATCATGCCAACTGCCTTTAACATTCGAAACCAGGTGGCCGGTTAGAACAACTCATCCTTCGCGTGCGCGGTGTCGGCCGCCCCGGCGCTATGGCGCCAGGGCGCATCATATTAACGATGGTCCTTGGTCAAATGAACGCGCCTCTTTTTAGTGCGCACTAAAGAAAGACATTTGAAGGGGGGACAAGCGCCGGCGAAACAACTTAATTATTCAGTCTGCCTGCAAGAAAATTTTCGAGTGCGAGAGATGAGTTTTTTGAAAAAAGAACCACGATAAAAAAAATGTTAGAGCAGGTCAGTGAAGTCTTTACATCCACCGCGAATTTGCAAAAAATGCCAACATTTCCGATCCAGTTTCACATATTGGCTAGGCTCAGTCGGATTTTTGCACTGCCCTGAAATTGTTAACCAGCTACAGTTTTTTAGGACACGATAGTAATCAGCAGAAGCAATCAAATGAACGCAGTTGCTGCAGATAAGGACACTGACATGCATATGCTCGGAAGAGAGGGCGTGCTGCGCGCTTCATTCGTAACGTGACGGCGGCTAGCGCACGAACTGCTGGGATATTGTCTTATTGTTGAAATGGGAAAATGCCTACGACAATCCATTTCTAGACGATGTTTGCATATGAGTACGCAGCCACGGCTACCGGAATAACTTCGGTGTCAGCGAAGATATACTAACAAAGGGCAATGTCTAACTATAGTTTAGGACATGGGCGAAAAAAGATTTCATTACCAGAGGCAACTGGGGGTATTTTAGCACTTTTGGCTTTTTTTCATTCGAATATTTCAACAATGCATACTTGCTAGCACCATTCAGCAGTATATTATGTATGAAATGACTTCCATGAAAACTTACATAGCTGTAAGTACGAGTAAGGCATTCTGATGGGCTCTAGTTCTTTGCAGATACGTGTTACGGCCTTAACATCAGGACGCGCAATGGCGTAAAGATGACTAGTCGGAATCCTTTAGATGCGATCGCCAACACCAACAACTGTTTTGCCACAGCTGAAACATTCAGATCAATTTTGCCCAAGCAACAATTAATGGGGCTGTTAAAGATGATGCGTATAGGAGGTGCGCTAGCTCCATAGCTAAGGCTTTCCGGAGCTATCAGCCGCAAACATATTAAAATAAGGCTTATATGTTGAGGAAGACAGGCGTATTACAGTATACCTCGCGAAAAATTATGGCGTAAAATTGAAATAGTGGTCAGAGTTGCGTGAGCGCACACAATAGGCATCCGCCTGCAGGCCAATGATGTGAGGGCAACTGCTAAACATGCGCTCTGCGGGACATCTAGCGAGTCGATGCTGCCTATGGTCGTAAAGCCAAGAAGTTTTGTGTGCATCGCTTGCTGCCTATGCACCGTTAAATTTTTGTGTTGCAGTTTTGGGCACTGTATTTAATTTTACCTCGCAGAATTTGGATGCGGTAGCCCTTCCTGAAGCTCATAAACATCCAGGTCGTCATGCACTAGTATTTATTTAAGGCAAGCCTTCTGGGAACGCGTGACTTACATGGTGTGTCATAAATTTGTTTTAACACGTTTTGGACCGCGTGACTTACATGGTGTGTCATAAATTTGTCTCTAGCGTTGTTTTATTTGAACGATTTGGCTCTCCTTTCATGTTCCAGTGTTGTGGAAGCACAGGGTCACAGGGTTCTAGGTCACGGAAGATACCCCATAAGCGAATCGAAACGGGAAGAAATCACTGATGAATAACTTATAAAAATGATAAAATGGTCCGGAGATGCGCGCAGTACGGCGGTCCGCAATGTGTTAACACAGTGAAGAGAGGAGGCGCTTCAGTGAGGAAGATGACGCAGCAGACCCGACTCCGCCCATACGATCAACGTGAACTGTACTTTAAGGAATCTGCCGTTGCATCAACTAACCGTCTTCACCCATATTCCAAGTGTTGGCAAACGATCCTCGTCCCATTTGCAGTACTGGCGCAAAAGTTGAGTGTTATGTAACGCCAAGTCATTACGATAGCTAATACTGAAAATGTTCTCTATTGATTTGGACTTTATTCCACTGCGAATCACCTAAATATCTCAACATCGATCAATTTTTTTAGGACGGACAAGACAATCGTAACATGTCGCATCGTCGGGCGCGACGTATCGTGCGGCGGTGCGCGACATATTCTCGATGTGCATCATTACATCAAATGGAGTAGCAAAACTCATGTGAATTCCGACGGAGGGACTTCCACGCTGAGTATTATCGACTTTCCGTTGATCAGCGTCCAAGCTCGAAGAGCCAGGCAGGATAACTCGTCTCTCGCGTGCGCGACATCATTCGCCACGCCAAGCGCGGCATATTACGATTGTCTTATCACATACAATGGCGCTGCGCCAAAACTTATGCACGTAGGAGCGCTTCCACAAGATGTTCCGATAGGCACTGGAACTCTATGTACTACCCCTTCACATCTAACATGTATGGTTTCATGCCCCCTCCCCTCCACCCCCCCTCCAACCGCTAATCACAATTCCAACAAATTTGATCGAATTTAACTCACTCTGCTTCGATGTCCATGTCCTTTCCACGGAATCGTACAATAGGTACCTTCGCCGCAAATATGTACTGTCTTCATCACGCTGCGTTCTGGATAGCCGACCAAGAGCTTCGGCTACCTCTGCGCAATCACCATAATCCGGACACACCACTCCACCCATTAGCACTTTTCTTGGTGGACCAGCAGGAAACGATAAACTCATGTCGACATCGCATGAACGTGTGCCAAAGCCATTCGAAAGTCGAGCCAGTAGCCTTCATACAAAACGAGCGGCCATTCAACACGAATTCTACCAGCTAAGGAAATAAGATGGCCCGCCCAACAAACTGCGTCCTTGGTGCGAGCCCCAAGAACAGAATGATTGCCGGAAATTAGGCGTTTATGAGAAAAACAAAATGTCATTGTTTTGGTCACGACTGAAGCCGAGGTAAATAATTAAAGGGGCAGTTGACGCGTGAATCCTCCAAAGACGAGCCAGACTAACACGCTGCCATGGCAAGATGGAATTCCACCGACCGCTAAGCGAGCGCCTGCATATATGCCTTTTTTCCATGGGAAGGTGCCCTCATGAGGGCGCTATCAAGCCAAAACCTTTAACCGTCCCAAACACCTCTGCCCTGCCCCGCCCACAAATGGACGGACTAGCTCCGGACGCTCTAATTGATTCATTTGCTAAGCAAATTATGAAGCGAAGGCATTGGTATGAAGCGGTCGTGATGCTGCATGGATATATGAGTACACATATGCAGCCGTACCTTCAGGCTAGGGTTAATTGCTGATAGATGCCTTCGGCGAAACTCGTCCAAAATTCTCTGCTGACACAGTGAGAACGGAGGCTCTTTTTCGCAGCATTTTGACAGTTTCACTCCGTTCTTGCGCCATTTCCCCACTATATAGCGCCTACTACGTAGGCGGCCCTACTAGCAGTTTTAGGCGAGCCCACCCATATCATTGTGCCCAACCTGATCCTTAGAAAGGCGCGAATTTACGCTAATTGCACAGGGGAGACTTGTAACTCTGCGTGGCCTGTTGTATTCGCCGCTTCTTTTTCATAAGATCAAGAGGACGGCGAGCCAATGAAGGCGACATTATGGCTGACGGACTCCGCCCACACGATCAACGCAGATTATGTCTTCACAGCTTCCATTACACATGAGTTTTCTGACATTACTACACTCTTGTTTACCCATCAAATCACCACTACTACAACTCTGAGATTTCTTTCCCACCCTCCCCTTTGATGTTCCCTAACAGCAAGGGTCGCTCTCCCATATCGCTCTATCATTCATCCTTTTCCACTAAAAAATGATCAAACGGGCAGAAAACTAGTGTCAAGGGCCCACTTACCGCTAACATCACTCGTGTTCCAAAGTAGTTGGATAGGTGAACTTCGAGTTCTACTTTGAAACGAACTACAAAATCAAATTGATGATCGCTGAACGAGTTGTCCTCTGAAATGCCAATGAATCAACGGAAGCAGCATAAGGATGGAACTTTCGCTGCTTTGCTTTACTACGAAAACCTTCGTGTTGCTCGCTGCGGATTCTAGGACGTGTCAGGGGGTTGAGTCTGGCGTGGCGTCAGGCGGTGTCCCACCAATCGCTACCGCTTGCTTCTTTCGACGATTCGTGAAGAACGGGCTGGCTTCACGACAAACCCAGCCCCATAATACGCTCCAGCATATGCGGACAAGACCGTACATACTTTTGCAACTAAGCAGATTCTGCCAAAAACGGTTCTTCAAATAGAAATTGAAATATTCTCTTGAACTGAGGCGGAGGTGGTGTAGTGACAAGTGGCGCGCTTACCACTCGCGCGGTCCTGGAATCCCAGGTCGACACCCGCCCAGGCCAACCAAGCCTTCTACCCTCCGGGGACGGTAAATTGGTACCAGATTCGTCTGGGAGGATAAAACACTGACTTGTACATCGGCTGGCCACCGCAAGTCATTGTATAGGCCACATCGCATTCAATAAGCCACTACGATTCTGAATGGAAGTAGAATGCGTGCCGCATCCCACAAAGGGATTGATCAACGGCGAAGACTTTATCCTTTATCCTTTAATGGCTTGAAGTACTCCAAACTCCAAACCCCCGAGGTGCGGTAGGCGTTGCTGCGCACTTCTGTGAACAAGGAACCATTCCAGGTTCAAATGAAGTGCGAAGCCACGTCCACCGTGTCCCAGGGTTCAATAGCTAGCTTCTCCTGAAATTCCTCTCTGACCAGGCAAGGAGTAGCCTGGGCACTTCTCTTCGCCGCAGCTTATGATTTTTCCACGCTACTGAATACCATACGAGATGGGGATCCGGGTATATTCTTAAACAGTGCCCTCTTGAAATTGGAGAAAAGTGCAAAACTCCAATGCCAACCTGGCAATTATGGGGTAGCCCATTAATTACCGTCCGGCAATTATCTGACGGCCGGCCCGGCCGGCGGCCGGGCCCGCGCCGGCTCCCGCGCGGCGCCGCGGGCGAGGCCAAAAACAAACCAAATAAAAAACAAAAAACGTAAAAAAAAACGCAGATCTACAAAACGCAGTAATTAAGCTCAAAAGACCGAAACCCTCATGTAGTAAGCTTCATCGCTCTAACTTATCCGATCCACTCTCAGTACTTGTTCTTGAGCTGTAGGCCGACACGCGTCGAAACATGCTTCTGAAACACAAAGCCTTTAAAAGAGGATGAACTTCACTAGATCGTTTAAGGCAAAATGACAATTTCACAACTGAGTACATACTCACGTAATGGCGCGAGTCACTTACAAAGCCGATCCAATGAGTCGTCTGCGCCGTAGCTGCATAATCCCGATTCCGGTAAGCCTAAAAACATAGCGGTCAAAAAATAAGTTGATTCGAAAGAAGAAAAAAAACAGACATCAACGCCAAATAAGCCGAAGGGATCAACTCTCCGGACCCTCCGCTTGTACATCGCCTATCTTCCAACAAATGCCGCATTTCGCGCCCAACCCATCCCCTCCAAGTCCAACCGCCTCCGTAGAAGGTTTTGCACAGCAAAACCTGGCATGCAAATTCAGGCAATGCAATCTGCCTCAAAGAAAACACTGTTCGCAAAGAGGCTGATGCGGAATGTGCTGGGAGCGCCCGGCTGCGCTTGAAGCTAAACCTTCAGAATTCTCCAATGAGTGCAAACCCTGGCGCTATAGCGCGAGGGCAACCCCGAGCCGGTGCAACACGCTCTTATAACCCAGAACTCCCCTGGATGAAATTTTCGGATGAACTTCCCTCCAGCAACAGGTTACAATAAAAGCTCAGCCTATATTTCGAGCAGTGGGGTCGTAAAGGATCAATAAAGCCGAATATTTCCTGAAAGTAACATTGAAAGCGAAAATTAAAGGCGTAAAATTACAGTATGAGCCAGCCATCCATGGTAAAATCGGCAGAATACCGCCGTTGACTTTTTCACTGCCACCAACGCGAGTATGTCGAGATGAGATTGTTGTCGAGTTGGCAGGACGTGATCGCGATGACTTCATTTCATTCTGGAAAATCAATATATTGACATTAATCCAATTTCAAAGGTTTGAAATAATTATCCAAAACGTCAAAATTTACAGAATACAATTGCAAAGAAGAGTTACGAAAAAATTCAATTTTATATGCAATTTATCATGGTTGAAAATTGAAATTGCAGAAAAAATTATAATGACAGACCTAAACATGTGACGCCTTTCACGAAACCGAGCATTGGCCGTTAAAACGGCCCTGTTGACCCTGAATTAGGAACTGTAGTCTTCAAGTCAATAGAAAGCAACGAAACGCGGTTATATAACGACTCTCGTGAGGGCAGAATCAGAGAAAGAGAAAAATCATTCAGAAATATGAAGAGAAAGACGATAAGAAAGAGAGAAGAAAGATTGCAGAGAAATGAACAATATCACAGAAAAAATAAACCAAAAACCCGTTCAAGAACCAGGAACATTCACGTATGAACTCTGAAAAGAAACTGCTAGCTATTTGCGATAAGAAAACTGCTGACGACAACATAGTGGACCTCGCCGGTCGATGACACTGTGAATTTTAAGCAGAAAAAAATTGCATTTACCCGAGATTTTACCGTATAAGCTGCTCAGAATGAATTCCAGGGGACATTCTTTTGAATAAGACTTTCAGGGGATCATTTGGGTGTAACTACCGGGCCACGAATATTGTTAGACGTGGAAGCATACTGTCGAGCTGCTAAAACCGGTTCTGAGACAGGTAAGAGAAAACTACTCGGCAGTAAAGTAGTTAATAATATAGGCGTTCGCACCAACACGTAAGAAATATGTACCTGAATAGAATACCTTGCAGGAATGTGAGGAATTCGAATTTGACGGGGATGGTCAACCTGCAGAATGAATGCGTCACGCGTTCACTTTAATATTCTCTTTTCGATTTAAAAGTAAAGTCAAGGGTAACCGTGTAGGGAGAATCACTTGAACCGAAACACTTCGGTAGTCGATATTGAGATCTCGCAGTGAAACACGCTCTCAACCGTAGAGAACAACCAGATGTGAGAGGAGGCAGACAAGTAGCGCGTTTGACTATGGTGGGCGTGTGTTGGTCGCGCGGTAGCGCGGGCAGAGTACGGAATGGATACTCGGGTAGCTCTCTTCGCCAGCTCCGTTTCGGAAGTGGCAGAAAGTGGAAGAAAAAAGGGAAAAGGGGCACGCTACTTTAGCTGCGGACCTATTCAGTTTACAAATGACGAGGACCAGAATTCAGGGAGGCGAAGCCAGAAGTGGTAGAACTGACAGAGACATGTAGATGCAGAGTATCCTGGTACCACTATTGCATCTATGAGCAGAGTTGCTACACGGATAACGTCTTATTATGATATTTACCCTTTTGTACCGCTGTTCGTATTCAGAAAGTCATCACAAGCTCAGTTAGGGGCGAGAAGTATTGACCTCTGGTGGAACTCGTCCCTCGAGCTTTCCGGGCTGGTGCTATACACTAAAAGGCGGATATCGGTCGGCTGGCCGGCTCATCATTTGAACGGTGTGATGGTGTAAGGCTGTCCCACAGAAGCCACTGAGCCGAGAGGGTATGAGCGGTCCGAATAGCGTAATGGTTACCGCACTCGCCCGGTAACCATTACGCCACTGGGGATGCTCATACCCTCTCAGCGAGATGGGGTTCGAGTCCCGTCCCAGGTTTGACCTTTGCCCATAACTCAGCATTACTGTCAGAGCTGTATGGACCATGCCTCATTTTGGAGATGGCGACAGAGGGGGGAATGGCAGAGAGCTCCCGCGCCGACTGCGCCTTCTGCAGTTGACATGGACCCGACCGGCATCGATCCCACAGCCGGTTCTCCGGCAAAAAATGCACCTTGAGCAGAACTTAGGTTAGACTGATGGTGAGTTCTAACACTAATCGCAAGCACTAGAAGGGAGTTTAGATGACCGGATAGGATCGGCTGGGAGCTCCGGGTGGCCCTCAGCAATGGCACCTTATGGGCAATGGGCATTGAGAAATGGACGACGCATAAATGATTATTCAAAGAAAACCCATGGCGTAAAGAAGTAAGTACCTACTTGGGTAAACGCATAAGAAAAACATCTCGTCTAATCTCAGAAAAAAGGATCAATCCAAAAAAATGTTTAAAAAAGACCTGACAGATGTTCCATAGGTCTTCCATAAGACTCGGCCGTTAACCATCAAGATTTTTAGCTTCAGTTTTACAAGTTGTTCGTGTTTGTTTTCTTTTTTTTGCTTTTTTTCCTTTATAGTGCCATCCCCTAAGTTGAGTATGTTCTGTTTTTTTCAAGCTGAATGGCGCACCCTTGGGTGTATATCAGTAAATAAATAAACGTATAAAGTAACTACCCATCGGCATAAGTAAATAAAAAGAAAAGCGGAAAGCGGAGAAGGATTGGATGGGAATATACCAAACCACTTCATTAGAGGATCTGTAGTTCTAGGAGCGACCTTAACCTAAGTTTGAGGGCAAACAGCGGACAGCTTTCAAAGGTATTAGACTTTAGCGAGAATACGGCAGTAGGATAATCCGACTAGCAAAATAAGTCAAGGGAATAAGTACACTGCACTATACCTTAAACTGAGAAAAGACATAGATATGCATTAAGAACAAGGGCAATTCTCTCAGAGGAAAAAGGCGATGTTATCTCAAGAAGGTTAGCTACGAAAACCTCACGTTACTCGCTAGGTGGGTGTGACTAGAAATGGACAGTTCGGCTTCGTGGGGGCACTTTGTTAGAACCCATTGATCGTGCCTCCTGTGGAAACCCGTTAACGATGCCACTGGAGACCTGTAAACTCCTGTAAAGGCTACGCGGTAGCATGAGCTTCGTTGACGTTTGACAATAGTTTACAGGTATCAACAGGGTGAGACGTGTAACTTAACAGGAACAAGTAAAAGAGACTAGCCAGTAGAACTGTGCCCCTCCCCCTTAGCCGAACAGCGCCGTAAAAATTTACAAAGATGAAGCACTCGTTGTCAGAAGCAGGGCAATCGAATAGGAGAGACGTAAATGAACATCAAAAACGGCATATGTTGACGACGAAGTAATCTAAAGTTCAAGTAGTAGTAAAAGAGTGATACTCCACTACGAGTTGAGAAATGAGGTCACTCATTGTAGCCTAAGGTGGCTGAAGAATTCTCAGCAAGCAGGGTCGTATTCGAGCTGCAAGTTGGAGGGTTTACCTCGGTAAGAGGGGAAGGTCTGCCCTACCAAGGAGGGGTGTGAGCGTTTTAGGGATAAATAGGGACTGAACACTGTTTTTGTCGCGGTATTTCCCCTATTACTACTTATCTTTCTCTGTTGATGTGTTACTTTTTCAGAATTGAGGTGAAGGGGGCAAGAAGAAAAATGAATTTGGACTTCTAGGTTGACGTGGGGTTGTACCGGGTGCAATAGAACAGGGCTAGATCGTGCTGAACGACCATTTTCCCTCAACACCATGACGTGCTCTGAGGGCATTAGAACAAATGTTGTAATGAATTCTCAAGAGTTCCATCGTCATGCTCAACCCTCACCCCCCCCCCTTCCCTCCGACGCCTTGATCGTCCTTGCGAAGATTCGGTTTGGGACTTCACCGAGGTGCCCAGGACAAGCAGCACTACCTGCTCCTGCCTGCTCTTGCCTTCATATTCCACCTACCATTCATTATCATGAGGTGACAGCAAAGGGGTGCGGTTAAGGGTTATATGTCAGCAGGACACGCAATGGCGCTAGGGAAAAATGTCAACAACCAGGAAACCTCCTCCAGCCCAAACACGATCCCCCCACTTTCGTATTGAATAAACGCATTGGGTCCTGCTGGAGGAGTCCCAACCCACACATTTCAGGTGTCGGATCAAACCATGTTAGGGGCCGCAACTCACTTCGAAGAAAATGGAGAGTCGAAAAATTGTAAAGCGGACGGATCCTTCCCTTCCTGATTTACAGAGCAAACATACAGCACAGATGGTGCTGCGTAAGAAGAGTGA